TTTCTGCTTGTTGGAGATGTTGGTTTAAAGCATTGTTTTGGCTCTTCTTTTTTGATGTGTGCATTTATTGCTATAAATTGGCCTCTAATCACTGCTTTTGCTATGTCCCAAAGATTTTGGTATGTTGTGTTTTCATTCTCGTTTGATTCAAGGAAGTTTTTCATTTCTTTTTTTTTTTTTCTATTACCCCGTCATTCTTAAGGGAGGTGTTGTTCAGTTTCCATGTGTTGGCTCTTTTTCCATTGATCTTCCTATTGTTTATTTCTAATTTGATAGCATTGTGATCTGAAAAGATGCTTTGCAGTATTTCAGTATTTTTCAATTTATTAAGGCTTGCTTTATGGCCTAATATATAGTCTATCTTGGAAAATGTTCCATGTGCACTGGAAGAGAATATTGTGCTGTTGTTGGGTGAAGTGCTCTGTAGATATCTATAAGGTCAAGTTGATTGATTGTATTGTTTAGTTCTTCTGCATCTTGTTGAGTTTGTTTCCACTTGTTCTATCTTTCATTGAAAGTGGTATATTAAAGCCTTCTACTATGACTGTGGAGTCATCTGTTTGCTTTTTCAGCCCTGTTGAAGTCTGTTTTATGTATTTTGGGGCTCTTTCATTGGGTCCATAGATATTTATTATGGTTGTATCTTCTTGTCCAGTTGATTCTTTAATCATTATATAATGTCCATTCTTGTCTTTTGTGGTGGTTTTTGTCTTAAAGTCAATTTGATCAGAAATTAATATTGCCACTCCTGCTCTTTTTTGGTTGCCATTTGCTTGATACATCTTTTTCTACCCTTTGATTCTTAGTGTATTTTTATCTTTGTCTCTAATGTGTGCCTCTTATAGATAGCATATTGATGGGTTATATTTTCTTATCCATTCTGCAACTCTCCATCTCTTGAATGGTGCATTTAATCCATTGACATTCAGGGTAATTATTGACAAGATTGAATTGGTTGCTGTCATTTTGTTATGTGTTTTTTCATGGTGTTGCTGGTTTCTTTGTTCCATATTATTTTCTGTGCTGAGCTCATTATGTTTATAAATCATGTTATTATTTCCTTTGTTGCTATTGGTTGAGTATTTGCTAAATATTTGTGCTTGTCCTCTTTTTTTATTGTGATGTGAAGGTTTATCATTTTTCTTTGAGGTTACCCTGTGATTTATAATTTTCTCCCCGAGTTTAGAACAGTTCGTTTTATCTTGCAACTTTTTTGACTTCCTTGCTGTTTAGAAGTTCTTTAACTACACTTTGTTTTCCCTCTTTTGGGTTTGTAGTTGTCCTCATCTGCCAATTGATGTCTCTGGTTCCCTGTTTATAATCTTGTAAGCTTATTTTACTTTGGATACATCCATAGCTGTGTTGGTTCCTGCATTATGTCATCTTGTGTATTAATGGTCAGTTGTTGTTTACTAGTATTGGTTCTCTGTTCAAAGGACTCCCTTTAGTACTTCTTGTAAGGTTTGTCTGGTTTTAACAAATTCCCTTAATTTCTGCTTATCTGGAAATCTGCTAATTTCACCATCATATTTCAGGGACAATTTTGCTGGGTATAAGATTCTTGGTTAGAAGTTTTTCAGGGTTTTATATACCATCCCATTGCCTTCTCGCTTGCATGGTTTCTGCTGAGAAATCAGAGCTTATTCTTACTGGTTGTCCTTTGTAGGTAACTTTTCATTTTTCCTGTGCTGCTTTCAGGATTCTTTATTTGTCTTTGGTTTTGATCAGTTTGATGATGATGTGTCTTGGTGATTTTCTTTTGTGGTCTATCCTGTTTGGGGTTTGTTGGACTTCCTGAATAGATATAGTCTCATCTTTTATCATATCAGGGAAGTTCTCTTCCAACAAATCTTGGACAATTTTCTCACTGGTTTTCTTTTTCTCTTCCTGTTCTGGAATTCTGGTTACACGTAGATTATCCTTTTGATGGTATCCCACATGACTTTAGGCTTTATTTTGTTTTGATCTTTTTTCTGATTGATCCCTTTCCAAAAAGTATTCAGGTATTTGTCTTCGATCTCATTAATTCTGTCTTCCACTGATTCAGTTCTACTCCTTTGCCCTTTCAGTGTGTTATCTGTTTCTGAAAATTTAATATTAATCTTCTGGGTTTCTGTCTGTAGATTTTGTATCATTTCTAATTTTTCATTTATTTTGTCATTTTGTTCTTGTATTTTCTTCCGAAATTGTTCTAGGGTTTTGTCAGTGTTTTCTTTGATCTGTCTCTCAGTCTTTTGAAGATACCTAAATATAATTCTTTTGAACTCCTTATCAGGGAGTTTCAGTGCTGTTTCTTCCTCTGGGATGTGTTCTGAGTCTGTATCCTGCTACCTTGTTTTTACCACTTTTGTGTGGACCGTGATGGTCTGTTGTCTCTGAGACATTGTGACCTTATTGTATTTAGATCTCTGTTAAGTTTCCAGTCATTCGTGTCCGGAATGTCCTTGTGGTCCCCGGCAAGTGGAGCCTATTCTTAGGTCCCTGGAATCTGAGAGAATGCTGCCACTTTAAGTGTACAAAATGCTCGAACCACTGGTAAACATCCAAAATGGCTGTGCCCTCCAGACAGCCACAAGTCTACACCTCAGCCCATCTCTTTCTTCACTGCTTCCCCTTTTATTCACCAGCCACCAATGCAGTCCTCCATGTAGCCCCTGGCTTGCAGGGCCAATGTTTAGGTTAATTCTTAGGTTCTAACACCACTTGGCAATATCCAAGCTGTCCATGCTTACAGGATTGCTGATAGACTGTAGCTCTGTATGTTTTCTTTTTTAGTGTTTTCATGCAGGTTCTTCTACTAGTTGGAGTTTATTCCACTTCTGTATCCTTCTTTTCAGAGCTCAGGGCTCCAAGATTATCTACTGTATCTGTGTTAATTGGTTCCCCCTTTCTTTGTTGAAGAGGGTCTGTGTAGTTTGCCTATTTTGCCATCTTCTGTATTCACTCTTAAAAACAATTTTCTACCCTTAAGATAGTATATCTCAAAGTGGACCCTGTGGATCGCCTGGGGTGTCTGTTTAAAACCTGGATTACTAGGCTTCACTGACCAACTGATTCCTAGTCACTATGGTTAGAGCCTGGAAATTGGCATTTTCCATGAACTCCGTAGTTACCGTAAACTCTACTCCCTGAAAATTCAAGTAAAGTTAGAAAAACAAACAGATGGGGGAAATGAGTGTTCCTGAGCTTCTCTGTCCTGGACTTTGGCACTTTACATAATAGTCAGGAGTTTGATGGAGCTTGTCTTTTGAAAGACAAGGCACTCTAACCAGGAGATGCTATTGCTCTCTGCAGGTGTGGCAGCTGGGCTCTTCATCACCAAATTTCACTCTGGAGGGACACGAGAAAGGAGTGAATTGCATTGATTACTACAGTGGTGGTGATAAGCCATACCTCATTTCAGGGGCAGATGACCGGCTTGTTAAAATATGGGACTACCAGGTACAGTTTTTTCATAACATCACTTGCCATGTTTGATACGGTTCTTAACATTGCTTACAGGAGAATTAAAACTGGGAATACTGATCTCTAATTATAACATAATAACTTACGACTTCAGTATTTGCACCTAAATTACAGTTCCTAAACTTCACAAAAATGCAAACAGATGCATATAAAAATTTTAAAAGTAAAATGCTAGTGTATTTTTCTTTTAATAGTAGAGATTAAAAGTTTAACACTGTAATTTAAATTAATTCTGACTTCCAGTATTTTTTCAGAATAGCATTTATGTTTGAAAATTAGCAAATCAGTCTTGAATGTTATATGTAACCATGGTACATATCATTTTGCTATGTAGTACTTCTTTCTGTAAGCCTAGTTACAAATTCTTGTTAATGTGCTTTTGATCTCAAGATTTTCTTAAGTTTCTACTTTTTACTGCACAAAAGGACGAGTTTCCACAAATAATTAAATGAGGTCTAGAAAGCCAGTTTTAATTTGAAACTTATTAAAGTTTGTGTTTAAATCCAGACACAAATATTAAAGGCTAAAGCACCACTGTTTTACGTAGTCCACACGTGGTAGGTGTGGGTGGTAAGGGGGAATATTCATTATCCTAGGAATTTGGGACACAGTATTTAGATGAAAATCAAAATCTTACAGTATTTCTTTCTTTTTTTTTTTTTCCTTTAAATGTGATGGTTAAACACATATGGTTACCTTTGTCTGTACGCTGCCTGGAACAACTGGAGAAACACTACTGTGCATGACTAGAGCATTCTGTCGCACATACTGCTGTGTTGAGTACTATTTAGATTGCCATGACCATTGTCATTTATAGCATACCTGTGCATTGGGGCAAGTGAGGATGGGTTACTTGTTTTTCACTAATAAAAAAATATTTTCTCTGTCTCGATTACAGAATAAAACATGTGTGCAGACACTTGAGGGACATGCCCAAAATGTGTCTTGTGCCAGTTTTCATCCCGAGTTGCCAATCATCATCACAGGTTCAGAAGATGGTAAGTTAGAAGCATATCTTTTTTCTTATGCTGCTAACCAGAAGGCTGGTGATTCAAACCCAACAACCACCCACTCTTCAGAAGGAAGGTTGGGCAATCTACTTCCGTAGAGATGCTGCCTCAGAAACCCAAGGAGGGGTTCCTGAGTCGGGTCCAACTTGATGGCAGTGAGTTTTTTTGGTTTTTTTTTTTTATAAATAGTAAGTAGATTTTTAAGCCAGGTAGTGTCCCTGCCTTATATATGGAAGCTTTTTAAGACTTTTGTTGTCTTTATGATGAGAGTAGTGGACTTGAGGTGTAAAACACTAAAGGGGCGTCATCTTCCTCATCCTCATCCTCCTAATGTGTTGATTCTATCACCTAAACAAGAGGACACCCAGATGTTCTAGAGAAAAACTAAAAAAGAATGTGCATGTGCTTTGGAGTCAAACTCGGCCTCTGCTCTTCATGGATATGTGGTTTGGGCAGAATGTGAAGTGGAGCACACAGCTACCTCATAGGATTATAGTGAGGGTGAGAAGAGGTCACGTGGATAAAGCACCTGGTGGGTGGTGGGCCCTCTGCCCAGGAAATCCTGTTTTAGTTCAGATTTAAAAATCACTTCTTTAAGAAACACTATTTGTTTCTTGCAATATTTTTATTTTTAGGTTTACATATATATTGCTTTATAAAAGCACTTATAGACAACATATCCAAGTATTGGCCATTAAGCTGCCAGGAAGTATTTCCTGTTTGACTAGAAGGACTACCCTGTGGCCATTTCACCTGACAGTTCATTGGCTAGATGTTTAAATCAAAAGGGAATTTTCATATTGTTCTTTTTAGGAACAGTACGTATTTGGCATTCAAGCACTTATCGCCTTGAGAGCACATTGAATTATGGAATGGAAAGGGTCTGGTGTGTGGCCAGTCTGAGAGGGTCCAACAATGTCGCTTTGGGGTATGATGAAGGGAGCATCATTGTGAAGGTAATGTCTAGAGTGAATGCCTAGAATTACACTACCTATCTAAATAGATGCACGTGAAAGAAGCAGTTTTCCTAGTGCTTCAGTGCCGTCATTTTCCAAGTCACCAGTTTTGTTAAACTGGTGCGTCTTTCATTAAGCACCAGAGATTTGAGCACTGGAGATTTAAAGTGGAAGAAAAGAAATAGAGCTTTCTGTTAAATGAAATAAGGGAATGTCTATTTTGTTGATGTTTTGTTTGTTTTTCCTTTTCATTGCTAATAGCCATTTGTCGTTCTAGCTTGGTCGGGAGGAACCTGCCATGTCCATGGATGCCAATGGAAAGATAATCTGGGCTAAGCATTCAGAAGTCCAACAGGCCAACCTGAAAGCAATGGGAGATGCTGAAATTAAAGATGGAGAAAGACTGCCATTGGCAGTAAAGGATATGGGCAGTTGTGAAATATACCCTCAGACTATTCAGCACAATCCTAATGGACGGTAAGTGATCATAGAAATCTGAGTGCCTCTGTATGTTAGAGCAGAATTTGCCTATCCAGTGCATATGCCACCCCTGCCCTGTGGAGCCATCTCTAGTGCTCCTCATTGAGTTTTTCCTGGGCCACACAATCATTAACACGGCTGCAGGCAGCCATGCCAGTTGATAGAGTGGGCATGGAAGGTGAAGTGCATCTGCCCTCTGGCCTTTCCTGTACCACGCAATTCTGAACAGTTAAGTCATTTCATGATTACTGTTATTTAAAATGTGTTGGGTTTGTGTCCTTGCACTCCTTTAAGGATAAGGACCATGTATTATCCTAAGACTTAGCAGGTGCTCTCTACATACTGGTGACTTACTGCTCTTAAAGGATGTGTCTCTTGAAAAAGTTCTGGGATTGGTAATAACTCAGCTTCTTATTTGTAATTTGAATTCTCAGTTCTGTTTCATCCCTGAGGTTTATTAAGCACTGAACATCTTGTGGGAGAGGAGTTTCTATCTAGCACAATGGGTTTAAAATGTGGAACTTTATAAATGACTTTACAGTCCTGATTATTAAAAAAGAACAAGTGTATAAACCAAGCACAATACCTAGTTTAATAAATAAAATCCATAATTGTTTGGAATATAATTATTTTATGAAGATTAGGAATGCATTATATATTTATCCTTTAATATCAGAAAATATTCTTTGTTGCAAATTTTGCGTTTTGGTAATCCTTTGGTCACAGCCATTACAGTATTCTAAATGATAACAAAAGCTATTGTATGTCTTTTGAGGAAATTTTGTTTGAATATACAACATTATATTTTCACTTATTTAAATACTCAGATATCCTGCTTATTTTGATAAACTTAAAAATTAGAGTAAAGTATATTTGAATGATCAGCTTTCAAATAAAGCTAGTTTTAGAAAAAGGTAGTACCTTCTTGTAGTATAAATCTAATGAGCAAACTGATAGGCATATTGGTGGTCAATAAATAAAGGTTGAGTAATTAGAATCATCCCCCTGTATATCTGCAGCCATTTTCATCTTCCTCTCTTCAGTTTCCTCCATTTGTAAGAGAAGGCCTTTGCAATAGCAATAACCCCACCTTCATACCTTGCTTTTGGATTTGTTGGCTAGAATACATAAGTAACACATTTCAGATAACTTAAAAAGATACTAAATTGTAACAATCAACTAAAGTAACATTTGTTACTACAATTATTTTACCATAAATAGGTGATCATTGTTTCTTACCTTCTACATGTCAGTAGCTCTCTCTCTACTCCCTTCTCTGGCATCTTTGCTTTCTAGGTTTGTGGTGGTGTGTGGTGATGGCGAGTATATCATCTACACAGCAATGGCATTGAGAAATAAGAGCTTTGGGTCTGCCCAGGAGTTTGCATGGGCCCATGATTCTTCAGAGTAAGTTTTGCCTACCCAGCTTATGAGCCACTTAGAAAAGTTTTTCTTTCTTTTTTTAAATAGCCTAAAAAATTTTTTTAAATTTTTAAAAATTTTATTGACGTAGAGTTATACACAATAAATTGCACCACTTAAATATACATTTCAGTACATTTCAACAAATGTATATAACGTGTAACCACCCACACAGTCAAGACACAGAACACTTCTATCATTACCCAAAATCCCTTTGTTTCCTTTAACAGTCAGTTCCCCTGCCCCATTCCCTGGCCCCATGGCCCCAGGCAATCACTGATCTGCCTTTTGTCACTGTATAATTTGATTTGTCTTTAGAGTTTTATATACATGGAATTGAACAGTATACACTGTTTTGTATCTGGCTGTCTTTGCTTACCATAATGTTTTTGAGATCTGTCCATGTTGTTACATGGATCAATAATTAGTTCTTTTTTTTTTTTTTTTAAACTCCAGTAGAGGTTGCCATGAGTCAGAATCAAAGGGTTGGTTTGTTTATTCCACTGTCTATATACCACAGTTTGTGTAATCTTTTATCTGTTGATGGACATGTGGGGTGTTTCCAGTTTCTAAAATGGTTTGTAAGCCCTGGCAATTTGTGTAAAAGACAAGGTGAAATCTGTTCATTTTTTTGCCCAACTATAAGGAATTCCTGACTCCTAGGAAAACATATATTGGTGGATTTTCTCATCTTCATTTTTATATTTTTGTATAATTCATTACTCAAAAATATTTTAAGGTACTTTGAACACTTGGTAGAAGTATGGTTTAGTATGTAATGTGCTGTGTTTGCCTCCCCCCTTACTCTCTGCCTCCCAGATATGCAATAAGAGAAAGCAACAGTGTTGTAAAGATATTTAAGAACTTTAAAGAAAAGAAATCATTTAAACCAGATTTTGGAGCTGAAAGTGAGTACTATTTACATATGGTGCATTTTGGGGGGCTTTGTAATAGCTCACAAACACCTAAGCAAATCTTTTTGTTCCTTTAGGTATCTATGGAGGCTTCTTACTGGGAGTCAGATCTGTAAATGGCTTAGCCTTCTACGACTGGGACAATACAGAACTCATACGCAGAATTGAAATTCAGCCCAAACACGTGCGTTTTCCGTCCTTTGTTCTTTTGAAGCATGCATTTTTCTGACAAGGGAACAGTGTCCTTGCACCCTGCTGTCCCTGTTCCATTACGTTGGACACTCTGCCATTTACCTTGGAGATGCTTAGAAATCAGGATTGTGGCATTTAACAAAGTATAGATGTTGGAGGATTTTTGAAAGTATAGAAAGTTGTACAAATGCCAGGTGCTACTCATATCTTAAATGGTCTCTGACAGAGTAAGAAATAAAACATGCTTTGAAGACAAGGAATCAGGGCATCTTGATTGGAAAGGACCTGGTAAGCTCACACACATTTCAGAAAGCCTTTTCATAGTCTTCCTGATGATGGCTATTTAGACTCTAGGTGAATGTTTCCAGTGACAGAAAGTTCCCTACCTTTCAGAGCTGCCTGCTTCTTTGTTTGACAGCTTCATCCTCAAGAAATTATCTTTGGAGACAAACCAGCCTCCCTAGAGCTCATCCCTGTTGGTACCTGTTGTCTCCTTGAGCATGTATTCTTAACAGGGATGACATTGTCTCTTGGGGAGGAGGGTGAAGAAAAGCTTCAAGTTCAGATATATATATCACATGTCTGTGTATGTATACATGTGACATATATAGCTGTGGTATTTAAATATCACAAGGGGAGGCAATTAGAGGGAAAAAATGTCTATGAAGGTAATCTTCCTAATCTCCTTAGGAAGGTGATAATGAAAAAAATTGAGAAACTCTTCTAGAGCAACAGGCAATAGGCTGCTGCTCCACTAAATCCCAGCACACACAGTGTTCAGTGACAGCGCTGTTTCCCTATGGTCTTTTATTGCTAGGCTAAATACAACCCTCCCCCATATGTATGTGCATCTACCACATAAAATTAAGTGGTTACTTACTATTTTACTATAAGTAGGTAGATCTTATATGAAAAAATGTGTCATTTTCTATTTCCACTTGTTGTTGTTGTTGTTACGTGCCGTCGAGTCAAACCCGACTCATAGCGACCCCTCCTTGGGTTTCCGAGGCAGTATCACTACGGAAGTAGGATTGCCCAACCTTCCTTCCGAGGAGCAGCTGGTGGGTTTGAACCGCCAGCCGTCTGGTTAGCAGGCAAGTGTCTTAGCCACTGTGCTACCAGATTTCCACTTAGAAATCCAAAATCAGTTGCCACTGTTTTTTGTTTGTGGTGTTGCAGATTTTCTGGTCTGACTCTGGAGAGCTAGTTTGTATTGCCACTGAGGAATCATTTTTTATCCTTAAGTATCTGTCGGAAAAAGTCTTGGCTGCACAGGAAACACATGAAGGAGTTACTGAAGATGGCATTGAAGATGCCTTTGAGGTAACTGCATCAGCAGAGTTTTAACTTTGTTTAAAATGACTTATCTTCTTAAAACAGCACTTCACTGATTTTAACATTTCATTATAAGTTAATTCTGAAGGAGCTAAGCATTTAGCAAGGCAGTCTGGTGAAATGTGAAAATTAGAACCTTGACTCAAAGGTAACAGTCTAAAAGCATACGTATTTAAAAGAAATCTGTTTGATTTTAGGAAATCTTTGTACAGACATTGGTATCTTTCATTAAGGAAATTAAATTTTGTTTTGGTCTTAAGACTGTTCAGAATGATCTCAGTGAGCTCCCAGGTGATGGAGAGGAACTTGAGATGGCCTCGAATATTTCTCATTATGAAACATGCTCCAGTTTCATGTGTGTTAAGGGTTTAGACCCACACTTTAGATCTGTTTTCAGCCAACGGTGAGTTTTCGTATTATAAATACTTTTCCAGGAATTTGCTATTAAATGAAGAAGGAAAAGAGAGAAATTCCAAGGAAAGTTTTTTTTTTCCTTGAAGTAGTTTGTTTTGTATTCCTTATTCTCCCCTGTCACCCTTAATTATATGCTACTTTTGTTTCTGACAGGTTTTCTAATGTGGATTTTTTTTCTTTTTTTTTTTCCCCCTTTCTACAGGTTCTTGGTGAGATTCAGGAAATTGTGAAGACAGGGCTGTGGGTAGGTGATTGCTTCATTTACACAAGTTCTGTCAACAGATTAAATTATTATGTTGGAGGAGAAATTGTCACCATTGCTCACTTGGACAGGTAACTGAGGATCTTTATGCTTTTGTCTTAAACATCATGAATTTGAAAGCATGCTCTCAACAAAACCTGTTGCTGCCTTATAGCAGGGATAGGTCTAATTGCTCAACATGGCCATTTTAGTTGGTTGTCGATTGTTGATAAAATTGCATCACATGGAAAGATTCTGAACAAGAGGCACACATATACATATAAATAAATACAGGTGGGGTGTGTGTGTGTGCTTAACTATATATAGGTTTGTGCTTACTTCTGAATTAGTGTCTGTTTTTATTGTCAATAGGACAATGTATCTCCTGGGCTATATTCCTAAAGACAACAGGCTGTATCTGGGGGATAAAGAACTGAACATCGTTAGCTACTCCCTGCTGGTTTCAGTGCTGGAATACCAGACGGCGGTCATGCGGAGGGACTTTAGCATGGCCGATAAGGTCCTTCCCACCATTCCAAAAGAACAGAGGACCAGAGTTGCTCACTTTTTGGAAAAGCAAGTAAGAAACATTTTTCTTTATTTTTAAAGCCAGTTAATTAGAGTGACTATTAGTATGGCTTTGGAAAACTTTATTTTTTAATTGACACTTGATTTCATATGGCAATGGAATTTCTCCTGTAAGTTTAAGCCACATGTTAGAGCATATGGTTCACTCGCCTCATATTCTTCCTTCTCCTTTCTCAGTGCCCTTGCACCCCCTCTAAATGTTGGAGGTCATCAGCAGTCTCCCTTTTCCATAGCCTTCTTTTCCATGCACTGCATTTTTTTCTATCCCTTTGCTGCTGTCCTAATGTAGTATTTTTCAGTCAGTTATATATGTACTTTTGAAAAACAACTAAGTTCTGCAAGGCTTAAGAATCTATTTAATGAGTTCATTGAACAAATTTATTCACTTAATGAATTGCATAAGCACTGAACACTGAACCAGGAGCTGTTCTAGGTGGGCATGGGGTTGACACTGTAGTACTGTATTTTCAAGTCTTTTCCCTGGGACTGGTTAGATTTCAGAGAAGCTCCTCAGTCACCATCCCTTTAGGGGCAGAGTGGAGGAGAAGAGGGCTTGGAGTCTCAGTGTTTTTAATGTTTCATTCAATCTCCAAAACCATTCACATTCTCTCCTGTTTTCCACTCAGAACTCCTTTCTCCAAGTATGCTGGGTATCCCCTAACCAGACACCCTCTAATTCACCTTCTGCAAAGAGTAAGCCTGATATCTATGTTCTAGAGAGGTTGGAGGACTGGATCTAGGAACTTAACTGCTCCTATACTGTCTTCACTCCTGGTTTAGGATTCATTTTCTCTCATGTTCTAAGTGAGTGTTTACACCTGTCCACCAGCTTTCCAACTTTCAAAATTTTGTTGCTAATGTCTCCTTTCCCTTACTGTGTGGCTTTTTTTTTTTTAAATTGTGATCTGGGTGAAAGTTTACAGAGCAAATTCATTTTCCATACAGCAGTTCGCATACACTGTCTCATGATAATGACTACAGTTTCCCCACAATGCAACAGCTCCCCTCTCACTTCCTTCCCATAGTTACTTCTTCCCAGTGTCCTTCCCTCCGTGCACTCCTGCCCCCCAAGCTGTCTCCCTGTGCATACACAGCCCTTCTATTCTCCCTTGATTGTTCTCTTCAAGGAGTGTATCTACCTAGTGTAAAAGTTGACCTCATATGTAATGGCTTTTTTTTTTTTTTTTTTTTAATCCCTTTAGTGCCATTTTGGTGGGGATTTGGGGAGAACTAACACTAGGCACATGTACTTCATCCATCTCATCCCATCTGTTTCACTCTTGCCTGTATCTGACTAGTTCCACAGATCTTCCGTCCTCATAATGTTTCCATCAGTGCTAGTAAAGAAAAGAAGTAACTCAGATTATTCAGACCTTATTTATACTGTACTCACGGATGAATGGGAGGCAGGGAGCTTATTTTAGCTGCAAAGTTAAAACATTTCAAACTCAATGTAAAGCCATGTCTGAAGCTAGACGGAACTCAGAAACTATTCACGTTCTCCACATTAACTGCCTCATAACTGAACATACTCCCCAGTCTGATGAAGCATTGAACTAGCCCTCAGTACTTTGTTGAGGAGCTCTGGTGGCGTAGTACCTAAGGCATTTGACTGCTAACCAGAAGGCTGGCCGTTCAAACCCAACAGCCACACCTCAAAGGAAGATTGGGCAATCTACTTCCGTAGGGATACTGAAGGGATCCTTGGAATAGGGATACCATAGGGATACCTTGGAAACCGAAGGATGGGTCACTGAGTCGATTTGACTTGATGGCAATGAGTTTGAGCACTTTGTCTAACATGCTACATCCATTAAGCTGAAATACTAGCACATAGGGTAGACCCCATCAGTGCTCATTGCCTTGGAGAAGGTAATTTAGGAATTACAGTAAACTGGAAGACCAGTTGTTATAGAGTCAGTTCTGACTCATCGTGATCGCATGTGTGTTAAGAGTGGAACTGTGCTCCATAGGTTTTTCAGTGGCTGATTTTTCAAAAGTAGAGGCCCCTGGGTGGTACAGTTAACACACTGAGTTGCTAACCGAAAGGCTGGAAGTTCCAAGTCCACCCAAAGGTGCCTTGGTAATACTTCATTTCTGATTTTGATTGTTACTTATCTAGCATTGGCTATTTCAGTTATCTTAGAAAATAGGCATCATATGAATGTCATGTCTGCCAGGTTGCTTCTCATATCAGTTAATTAATAACACCTTTATTTTTTGTTCTTTTAAGATTTTGTTGTCTCTTGTTCTTCAGAGTGGAGTTTCTGTCAATAGGGTATTTTCCATTTGTGAGAGAAATATATGATTTGCACTGTGCATGTGTATATGCAATACATTTGTGCCACATACATTTCTGTATGCATGAGTACATACACATGTCTTAAAATCCATTTAGGGTTTCAAGCAGCAAGCGCTTACAGTATCCACAGATCCTGAGCATCGTTTTGAGCTTGCTCTTCAGCTGGGAGAGTTGAAAATTGCATACCAATTGGCAGTGGAAGCAGAGGTACGTATTCGTGATTTTTCGTAAGTGATGGAAAGGTCAGTAGATTCTGTGTGTTTGGTATGATTTTCTATTAAAAGTTTTCTGAAATGCACATTAGACTCATTTTTAGTGACGTTATTGTCTCTGGTCTTTTTTAAACATGCATAGTAATCTTTGCATATATTAAATGGATTTTATGAGAGATACTTTTAACACTCTAATTTGCTTAAGGAATAGTGTTTTCATATCTTACATGAGATCTGCCTTGTAATAGAAGGAAAGATACAAGACTAGTAAATAAAGCAGTCTGGGAACTCTAACATTATCAGAGTGCAGACATACAGCAGTAATCTGACAGAGTCCCAGACTAATCAGGAGGATATTGATTTTAATGAAAAGTTCTGATATTTTATAAGTTAAATGCCATTTTTATGATCTTTGCATATTGAGGGTTGTTAATAGTGGTTTAAGTCTAGCTTTTACTGGTAAACTCATTTCAGGTATAAAACTTTAACTGTGTTACAATCCAGTGTGCAGCTGTTAGTTGATTTCTGAGAGGCTACAAGTGACAGATATTTATTACTTTAAATATTTAAGGACATAAGAAACAATTTCGTACTCTTTCAAAAAAAATTGCATTAAATTACTCATTAAAATAATCACCACCTAATTACCTTAAAACTCATTTCATGGTTTTACTTTGTTTCACTGTGTAATTACAAAATAAAAATACATGGGGTTGAGGATTATTCATGCATCATTAAAATTTGTTTGAATGAATAATTTTGTTTTCTTCATTATACATTTTATAATGCCATTCTTGATTGTCAGCAAGCACAGCTTTGTGTGTATGTGTGTGTGTTATACATGTATTCCATGATCAGCTATGTTCAGGTTAACAGAATTATGTTAATACTAACAATTTAAATATTTATTTCCAAAGATACTTAACTTGGAAACTGTTTTTTATAGTCAGAGCAGAAGTGGAAACAACTTGCCGAGCTTGCCATCAGTAAATGTCAGTTTGGCTTAGCCCAGGAGTGCCTGCACCATGCCCAGGATTATGGGGGTCTGTTGCTTTTGGCCACTGCCTCTGGAAATGCTAGTATGGTGAACAAGCTAGCAGAGGGTGCAGAGAGAGATGGCAAGAATAATGTGGCATTCATGAGCTACTTCTTACAGGGCAAGTGAGTATTAATCATTAAATCTAAGACATATGCATGTACTAATTGAAATGAATTATTTCTACTTTGACTTTGATGGTTGTGGAGAGGAATGATGAGGAATGAACCCTGGAGAGAGAATGAATGGACGATAGTCAAGTGGTGCTGAGCAGTGGGGACAGAGAGAGGGACAGTGCTACCATCAGCAAGGGATGATCTTGGCATGTTTGGTCTAATAGAGGCAAATGAGGTCTTCAGAGAGGCTCAAACGGGAAATAATGAACCTTTTTCTCAACAACCCTGCCAATTATTGCTAAGACGATTTATGAAGGCAGGAAGCTGTTGTGCTGCTCCAATTGGTACCTGAATGGCATGTGGTTTTATGCAAGACAATTTGAGTATGTACCCCAGTGTATGTATGTGGATGTACTTATAAATTTATATAGCTGTAAAAATAGGTCTATTATTATTATTTATTCATAATTTAAAAATCCAGAAATACTGAGATAAGTTTTTTGTAACTATTTGATGGTAAAACCTGACCTGAACTCTGAGGCACTATTATTAGTTGCTTTTATCCCCCTTGATGTCTTATCCTATTTAGTACCCATTTTATTGCAGAGATGTTAATAAGTATGATTTCTGTGTGATGCTGGGGATGTTAGGCAATGTATAAGTATTAGCACTGTATTACCTTTCTAAAAATCCAAAACATTCTTATAATATTATTATCCACATTATAAAATAGGAAATAGAAAAACAAAAAACACTTTGCTGTTTTCCTACTGGATGGTCTGGCACACCTCATGCTAGAGACACTGTCCCAGATATTTCCACCTGTGAAACTGTTTCTGGGTTCATATATTCTGAAGCCTTTAAAACTTGCCAATTTAAGCTGCCTTAACTTGTCTTGGAAAGCCCCTGTAGATTATTTTTAGTTGTTAAAACTAAGCAGGCTGAAAATGGTCACAAAAGATGTCTTACCCCCTAAAACCTCATTGATAATGGAGCACACTGTGATAACTGATGCTCAGTAAAGGTAGCATAGTGCCTAAGGCACTTGACTGCTAACCAGAAGGCTGGCGGTTCAAACCCACCAGCCATACCTCAAAGGAAGATGGGGCAATCTACTTCTGTAGTGATACTGCCTTGGAAACCGAAGGGAGGGGTCGCTATGCGTCGGGTCCAACTCCACGGCACATAACAACAACAACAACAAGAGAAGTGAGGTGTATGTGTTTGTGGGGGTTGGGGAGGGGTGGGCTCTGACTTTGCAGTACTAAATCCACGTTTCTTAAGTGCCATCATTAGTGTTCGTTCTTGGTAACAGTAGCTTTGACTTGTAATTTGTAGGCTTGATGCTTGCCTAGAACTCTTGATCAGAACTGGACGACTGCCAGAAGCTGCCTTCCTGGCCCGAACTTACCTACCCAGTCAGGTTTCAAGGTACATCTTTTAATATTAGGGAGAAATTTTAATTAAAAACAGAGCAAACTTATTTAGACTCTCTTTTGTTCCATGATATCTACAGGGTAGTGAAACTTTGGAGAGAGAATCTCTCAAAAGTCAACCAGAAAGCTGCAGAATCCCTTGCAGATCCAACAGAGTATGAAAACCTCTTCCCTGGATTAAAAGAAGCCTTTGTGGTTGAAGAATGGGTGAAGGAAACACATGCTGATCTGTGGCCAGCCAAACAATACCCCCTAGTCACGGTGAGTGGCTGGCTTCATTTAGTGTGACTGCAAGGTCTAACTGCATTGTTTACCATGCCAGGTCTTGAACAGAGTGAAAGGCATTCTTGTTGGGTTAAGTGCAAATATCTGAGATTTAGGGCAAATTCAGATATACTATGATTTCAGAGTATTTCTGAATATTTTTGATAGCCAAATGAAGAAAGAAATGTTATGGAAGAAGCAAAAGGCTTCCAGCCCTCAAGACCTACAGCCCAACAGGTCAGTAGAAAACAGTATGTGAATTCCTTAATGTAACTTGAGAAGTATTATTGATTTTAAATAACCATTTCCCACTTTTCCTGATCATTCTTCCCTTGTTGGGGGAGGGGGCTATATTTAAAATTCCTGAACAAATTCCTTTGTCTTCCTATGTCCATCTGGAATTTCAGGAACTTGATGGGAAGCCTGCCTCTCCCACTCCAATCATAGTGGCCTCTCACACAACTAGCAAAGAAGAGAAGGTAGGTCTGACACCATGCCCAAACCTCCCATCCAAGTGCTTCCCACCTGCTTCCTTCCACATCCACATGGATGGCTACAGGGAGTCCAGGCCTCCCAAGTCTGGTGCTGCAGTCAGCTCCAGGGCAGGGGCTTTGAAATGGGAAGATGCTCTTTTTGACTATTAAAGTTTCAATTCTCATTTTGGATTTCAACCACAGATGAATTTTCTTTAATATAGTGTGTAACTTCATTGCCCTCTTTGCTTTGCAGAGTTTACTTGAACTGGAAGTAGATTTGGATAATTTGGAATTAGAAGATATTGATACAACAGACATCAATCTTGATGAAGATATTTTGTATGACTGAACTTCACGTTTCCCATTTACCCAACTAAATAGATCATTATTATGTATGGGTGTTGATCTTCACTTTGACCACAGTGCTCTGGACTAAGAAAAACTCATTAGGTTTTTATATGCAGAACCGTGGACCACTGGGAACAGAACATCCTCGCTGTCTAAAGGAGTTTTATGCACAACATTTAAATCACCATGTTTTCGTTGGTAACTAAAATGTAACTAAAATAGATATGGGCTTTGATTTTTTTTCGTATTGTCATTAGACCATATCTCCTAAAATCTTTTGAATTCCTCACAATGCTTTTATTTCCTTTCTAAATGAAAACAGGCTTCTGGTTTTAGCCAAGAGCACCCTAGTTTGGGCTGCTGAGTCAACACTGTCTGTCACCTTATCTCATCTAGGGATCAGTCCACACTCTTTTCTTTGGATAGCTAAATTCGTATTTTCAAATAGCATCAATCAATCACATCATTCTTAGAACTGAGTAACTTTATCACAATTCTCTAAATCCCTTTTCTGGATTTGTTTATCACTTCATTCCTTCAGCATGTCAGACTGCCTAGCATGGGTTCTTGTGTCTGGCCTTGGCTTTGTCTAGTAGGTCCCCATTTCTGAAATCAGTGAAACTCCAGCTCCTAACGTACTGTCCAAACTACCTACTGGCCTACTTCGTAACACAGAAAGGCACAGTGTTTTTTCTTTCTTTTTACTGTGCACTTACCTAACATGATTGAAGAATTCGTGCCCAGGCACGCATGTGTATTTCTCAATTATTCTGGTAGCTTACAAAAATGGTAGGGTAACATATTTTTCTTTGTATTTCTGTTAGAGGTGCTGTCTAGAACTTAGAAAACAGTACAAATCAGTACCTTTTAATCTGGACATTTTTAAACATTTGGTTCAAGATTAACAAAGAGAAATCTTATCAGTAATTAGTAAAATGAAATTTACTTAAAAATCCTTTCAGGAAGCGGCAGAATGGCTAAGGGCTGCATCTTGATACGCCTGCAGTGTTAATTCTACATAGGCCCCATTCTGGGCTTCTGTTTTTGCAAAGACCTGTTTAAATTAAAAAAGGAAAGAAAAAACGTTTTAAAGCAACAGAACATATGCTATAAAGTTTTCAGTTTTGAGACATTTCTGTAATAATAAAAGTCCCAGTTTAAAAAATCTTCCAAGGTTCACAATAATATTTTTCTGATTATCAAATAATAAACATGTACTACATAGAAAAACAGGATCCAACCAACACAGTTCAAGTAATACTAATTTAAAATCCCAGAACTGTCTTAATATGGCTGTCATCTCTTTCAGCCTGTTTTCAGAAAAAATTAGTAATTAAGTTTGAGAGAAATCAGAATGAGAATTAGCAAACCAATTTTTCACTTAAAGCAATGTTTTCTCCAAAATCATTTTGCCTCATCTGGCCTATAGAGAAAATCATAATTAGTATTGCAGTTTCTCTGTACTACTACTTGGGTGTCATCAGTATCATTTTAATCTTTAAAAATCCTTATAACTGCTTTTGCAATACACAAAAACTGGGACAGAAGCCAGTTCCACAAAACCAAGCCTAGTCTGATCACTGGGAGAGATGAAATTTTACAATGACATCCAGTTCCCTCCCTGAAAAATAATCATCTCCATTCTCAACATTTAGAGAAATCTGTCTAAGTCGTGCTTTTGAGAGGTATGCAGTTTCAAATTGATAATGCAGCTAAAGCTTGGAAACATACAAGCACCACACTTCCTGAGGCCTGCTCGCTTCCCCCATGGGAGTGTGCCCACCACTGGGCCGGGCTGCACACATGGAGAGCAGGGGACCTGAGCACCTCCCATGCTGCCCCCAGCCTGCCAATGCTCCCAGGAACAGGGTGACTGCTTCCATACCCCCACCAGACTTCTTGCAGCTATAGCTGCAGCACCACCCCCTACTTGAGTGTCTTCCCCCACCCCTACCCCATCTTTCTGTTATCCAGGCTGAAGAAATATGGAGGCACTAATTACAAATGTAGAATTCACAAATTCTATGGGGTTACCATTAAATAGGACCAGCTTCTGAATTCTTCCCAACTCAATTACTACCTAACAGCCAATGTGAAAAAAAGACCCTTTACCTTAACTAAGTTTAATCCCTCAGCAGCCTGCTCTTTGGCCTCTTGAGCTGACTGGCCATCTGGATGCACCATGTGATAGAGCTGGACGAGGCTGATGGCATCATCGGCTCTAGGAGAGAGAGGGCTTACTATTAGTGAAGAATTTTCTTCATTTGTTTCATGGTCCCACAGATTATGTGCCAATTTAAAACTAAATTGCATTACAAACTTTCTTCAGGACAAAGGGAAAATAAAGGCGTCTATTTCATTTTCTCAAAAGCAATTTCAGTAAAGTTGGCTAGTTTAGGCCTCACCCTATCTCAATGAGGCAGGTAGGGCAGGCAGGCAGTACCCAACATATGAAAGGGAATATATTCCAAATATGACTATTCTTAGAGATAGGGCATCGTTTTCTCACATAAATAGCATTCCAACTGGTGGATGACCCTGGCCAGGCTCCTTCACTGTGCAGTGTTCATTTCAGAGGGCAGAAATATACCTTCATCCCCCAAAGGAGGTTGGTGGTCATGGGGATGCTCAATGTGACTTGTCTTTAGGTGCATTAGCAGTGACATCTCCAGCAAGAAAAGAAAAAGTCAGTATTCTGACTTCATGGATAAATACCTCTGATGCCTCTACAAGCCTCCCAGGACTCCAAGGAAAGACACCCATGCCATTTGACCATTCACAGTAAGCCATTAGTTAATAATTAGCATCCTGAGTGGTCACTGGGATCTTAAAAGTTTGCAAGTGGCCATCTAGATGCAACCTCTGGATGAGGTCTCTCCTCATCCAGAGCAAAGAAGAATGAAGAAAACCAAAGACGCATAGAAATAATTAGTCCAAGGGACTGGTATACCATGTGATCCTCAGCCTATACAACTATGGGACCAGACCTAGATGGTACCTGGCTACTACTGTCAACCACTCAGGGGGATCTATGTAGGAGATCCTGGATAGAGAGGGAGAACAATGTGGAACAAAACTCAAAATCATTTTTTAAAAAAAAATGCGAGGAGGGGACCCACGTTTGCTGGTTTGACAGACACTGATGGAACTACTGAGACTATGGCCCCTAACTGCCTTTCAGGTCTGGAATTGAACCCACTCCTGTGGCTTCCAGCCAAACAAAAGATAAGCACGTGAGCTGAACATTTCCATTAGGAAGATACATTCCTTGAAGAGATCAATCATGGGAGAATAGAAGGGCTGTTTATATACAGGGAGACAGCTCAGGGTAGGAGTGCATGGGAGGGAAGAACACAGGGAAGAGGTAACTATGGGGAGGACGTGGGAGGGGAGCTGTTGCATTGTGGGAAATTATACTCAATGTTGAGACAAAGTGTATGTAAGCTGCTGTGTGGAATTTGCTCTGTAAACTTTCACCCAAATCACAATAAAAATTAAAAAAAAGAAAAAACTATCATCCTAGTGAAGCAAATGTGGAATTATACTCATCAGAAGGAAACTCAGCTCCCACATCAGCTATTAGCCCAAATTTAGTGTATACAATGATGTATAATAAAGGCAGGACAAAAATTCCAGTTTTCTGGTTTGTACCTTCCTATCATTTTGCTACCTTAAAGCCAGGCAGGAAGGACAAAAAAACCTTCCAAAATGCTCATGCCGTGGAGGCTCTGCTATGTACCCTTATTGAGTCAGCTGCTGGCTTCTAGCATAGGAGCTGGGGGTGAAGACACCCTAGTTCAGTGCTCCCCCAGCTGTCAACTATTCTGCATTCCCTGCTTTTAGGCTACCTGAGCTGGGGAATAAAAAGTGAAACAGCAGAGAATAGATAAAGAATTCCTCACAGTAACCTTAGAGAAACAGATATGTCATGTAAACCCAAGGCCCATCTACCCAAAAGGCCATGTCCTGGGACAACTGAGACACTAGAGCTGCTCGCACATAAACCCTTCTGCAGAGAAGGGGCTAGCCTAAAATGTTCATGACAAATGTGTTATTATAATCTAACAAAGTCCAATAAATATGGAACAAACTATCTCCCCAAATAAAAGGTAAAGGTAATCCTTTTTTGAGATTAGTCACATGGACCTGTAACTGGGTTTCGGTATGTCAGAATCACGTTTAGGGCTTCATTAACGTCATCCTAAAGTATATGGCTATGCCACACAGAACAATTTAGCCTCACACCAAAGACCATATTTGAAATTAAGAACAAATTTCTATTTTCAAAAAGATTTTACAAGGATCTCAATTCAAAACCATATTGGGACTTGAGTCTATAGCCTCCATGCAGTGGGGAAGTGCACCTCCAACTGTCAAGCCTGGCATCTGCAACAAACTCAAGAGTCCTATTCGTATTACCACAGGAAAGGCTGAGTATTCACTCAAACCTCCCTCCCAGGATGCAAATGAACTCCTTCAGGTGTAACCACTACATGTGACAATGAGAAATCCCATAGAACACACATTAATACATACACAGTATACAGTACAGAACAAAAGTCACTTAACTCTTTCAAGGAACCTAGCCAGTTAAGGCAACACAAAAGCAAAGACTGAGAAAAGTAGGCTATCCTGGAAGAAACAAACCTATGCACAAACTGAAGTTACATGAAAGCTAGTTTATCACTAGAAAATACAGTATTCATTGGAAAGAAAACAAGCTTAAAGACAGATTTACTGTTATGGTAGTAAGAATTATTCCTTTACTTATAGGATCATACTTACAAATCTCTCTGAATCTGGTCAATCAGCAAACCATCAATCTTTTTCTTATTTACAAAATACCAAGCCATTCCACCAAAGTGCCTAGTTGAGCGTAAAAGGTCATATTTTCCATGTTTATCTATATCTTCATAGGTCTGATGATGAACCTATCCATATAAAATGCAACTCTTCAGAAACATGAAAATAAAAAAAGCATCATTACTCAATATACACTTAATAGTATAAGTGCTCGAAGTGTCGGTAAAACCAGGTCTACTTAAAGCTGCCTCCACTATCGTTAATCAATAGCTACAATTTAGACCAAGCCTTAGGCATAGTGTCTAAGGCATTAACCTGCTAACCAGAAGGCTGACAGTTCAAACCCACCAGCCACTCCTCGAAAGGAACTGTGGGCAATCTATTTCCATAGTGATATCAATCTTGGAAACCCAAGGAAAGGTAGCTATGAGTTGGATCTGATTCAATGGCATGAGTTTGGTTTTTTTTTGGTTTTTAGACAACTCACCTTAGGTGGGAAGGAGGATTCTAAGAAGGAGTTGTTTGTCTAAACAATAGCAAATCTGTGCTTTCCCACTGTGGAAGTGTATAGCAGTCTAGAGCAAGTTATGCCAAACAATTACATCAATTACTTTTAAATACCTATCACATATCTATAACCCACTGCCACTGAGTCTCATAGGACCCTATAGGACAGAGAAGAAATGCCCCAGAGGGTTTCCAAGGGTGTAATCGTTATGGAAGCAGACTGCCACTTCTTTTTTCTGTGGAACAGCTGGTGAGTCTGAATGTCTGACCTGGTTAACAGCCAAGCACTTAACCACTGCACCACAAGGGCTCTTTTCATACACCTATGTTGTTGTTGTTATGTGCCATGGAGTCAGACTCGACTCATAGTGACTCCTCCTTGGGTTTCCGAGGCAGTATCACTATGGAAACATTGCCCCATCTTCCTTCCGAGGAGTTGCTGGTGGGTTTGAACTGCCAGCCTTCTGGTTAGCAGTCAAGTACCTTAGGCACTACGCCACCAGAGCTCACACACCTATAGACCACTGGAAATAATAGAGTACCATTACTTAGCCACTCCTCTTTCCCTCATTCCATCAACTATGCCCATTCCATCTTATTAACTGATATGTTCCTTCAGTTCTCGTTTCAGACTGATTTTCCTAAAGGAGGACACTGAGCAGGGCATTCCTCTGTTAAAAAGCTTGCAAAGATCTGATGAATTAAGTTCAGATTCCTCAGCCCAACATCTGAGGTCACCTGTGACATGGCCCCATCCACACTCCCAGCTTAATCTTAAATCACTTCTCTACATATACATTGCACATACAAGCAAACAGGACAACTGGCCACTTCTCAAACATACTGTTATTTTCTGCCTACTGTTCATACTGTTCCCTCTACTTGAAATCCTCTCCTAGCCCAACTCCACTTGCCATGATGTTTCCTGCCCTTTAGAACCCTGTCAAAGCCCCTATGAAGACTTTCCTAAGAGTACTCTGTAACCTTTCTTAGCACCCACCATTTTAGGCCTAAAGTGATAAATCAGCTCGACAACAATGGTAAACTTTCCTTGTCCCCTTCCTCATGATCACTTCTGGACTGCAAGCTTCTATATACAACACACCCTATCCTACTCCTCTTCATGGCATCACCTCCACCACCCACAATACCTTACACGTAGAAGGTACAAAATGAGTACCTATTCAACTGAATTATAAAATATACACATTGCATTCTGGCACATTTTAGTAATATTTGTTCCTATATACTAAGTTAAGTGAAAAGAGAATGGGCTTTGTCATTAACTCTGAGTCCCACCCCATCATTTACCAGCTGTGCAACTGTCAGCAAGCTACATCACTCTCGATAAGTTTAACGTCCCTCATCTTCAGCGCAAAGATTGTTGTGAGAATAAAACATGCATCAGATACACATTAGGTACTCATGAGTTGTTCAGGTATTTCCCTCCTTTTCCCCATGCCTCAATGGTTATAACCAAGCTCACTGTGCTAGATTTAAAATTTTTACTCATAATAATATGTAACCTTATGCTTTAAAAACTATAAAATATACTCACCTTGATATACTCAGAGGAATCTGGCTCAAACTGGGCAACGCATAGATTGAGGACATCAGCGTGCCAGTCCTGGCTATACATGGTCTAAAACCAGACAGCAGAGTTGCAATTAGGTAAGAATATGAAAGTGCAACACCTGCCCTGACACCACAACAGGTTCACCCACCCATGTACACACCACATCCACGGCCATCCAGTGGGAAGCAGAAAAACCATGGATGGGCTTTATAATTATCACAGCTGGATTCAAATCCTAGCTAAGCCAATTACAAGAGATACAGCCCTAGTTAAGTTACTTAATAGAAACGTTTATCTGTTTCCAAAACAAAAAACAAACTCAATGCCATCAAGTTGGACCCAACTCATAGCGACCCCTCCTTGGGATTCTGAGGCAGTATCACTACAGAAGTAGATCGCCCAACCTTCCTTCCAAGGGGTGGCTGGTGGGTTTGAACCGCCAGCCTTCTAGTTAGCAGTCACATGCCTTAGGCACTATGTCACCAGAGCTCCCCTATGCCACCAGAGTATTTATCAAGGTAAAATGCCAAACAGCACCAGAGTCAACAGGCTAACCAAAGAAACCATAACCACTGATCTGGACAGAGGAAATCAAAGTCACCTTACTTTAAGATTTTCTTCCTTGAAAATTATCGGTGTCAAAATTCTACGACCTTCTTTTGGGAAATAAATTTGTATCATCCGATCTCGTTCTTCCCAAGAGGCTTTGCGTAGTGTTCCACTTGGTTCTCTGACAACAATAAAACGCTCCTGAAATAGAAAATAATCAAGGATGAATTTGTGAGGACTTATTTTTAGTTCTAGTGTACCACTAAGTACCATAAGAATAATTTGCAATCAACAATATAAAATGCAACTGGGAGATACAAAATGCAATCACATGTACATAATTTCATTGGCAATTTTAAACCTCGAAGACTTCAAGGTTTGATACTTCCCTTCACTATCACTACTGTCTGTATAACGATCAGAAATCTAGAATGAAAGTATTTACTTAAGTGCTGACTATGGTGCTAATTTCAGTTCAATACATAAAACAGTTCCACTAAAAAGAAATGGACTGCGATTCATCTAAATCCATTTTACAGGAAAGAAGTACTATAAAATCTTTTCAAATTGTTTCACTTCCTCATCCCAAAGTCTTATCTACATATGATGTTTACTACTTTATGATCTACTTTTAATCCTTAGAATAAAAGGGACAAACCTAAGTGTGTGGAATCCTAATTCTGTACACATCTATGATTTTTCACATTGGCATTAGACATACATGTATCAGAGAGACATGTGTGGGACCACATGCTTCTGGTCTCTAGTCTTCCACTGTCAGCTCCCAGGCCACATCTATTATCCCTCAACTGGCAATTTACCATGTGCAAGATTCTTAAAACCCCTCAGGTATTGTTGTACAACTGGAAAACAGCAGAACTATGGATTACAATTATTTTTCCAACACCCAGAGTGATTTAACACAGCCTTGCACTTAGCAGATAATTGATACACATCTGATTGTTTAAATTAAACAAATGATAAGTCATTCAACTTTTCAGAGGTATAAAAGCCTCTGAATATGTTCTGAGGATGTTACAACTGAAACTTTTATCAAGTACTGCAAGTTGAATAGAAGGGGAAGGGGAAAAAAAGGCAAATGCCAAAATAACAAAATAACATGCTAATTTCTTTTCTCCCTTTAAGGTTATAAAATGCTACCATAAGCACCCTTCACAGCACTGCAGACATTATTAAAACAGTCAAAACACAAATTCTAATTAAGTGAACACTCTGTGAACTCTGCTCATTATGTCATTTATGCAAATGGATAGTGTACAGACATAGACACAGCTTGAATCATGTCTTCTAACCATGGTAAAACACTGATTAATATGGGGATGGTCCATCTCCCAGCCTAGCATTATGTAGCATTCTATTGCATGGTATGGGGAGGAACTATAAAAGACTTCTACTCTCTTTTGAACTTTTAAAGGCTGAAGCAGAAAACCAGTATATTTCTACAGTGCCAGAGTGTTATTTTGGAACTGGCAATCAAGTTAAGAAGAGCCAGAAAATAGAAACTACAAGAAACAGTGCTGTCTGAAAATTATATGGGGGAATATCTGCCATTCTTACTGCAAATTCTGGAAAATAAAGGTTGTCTTAGTTCTCCAGTGCTGCTATAATTAGAAATACCACAAGTGGATGGCTCTAACAAACAAGAATGTGTTCTTTAACAATTTATCAGGCTAGAAGTTCGAATTCAGACTGCTGGCTCTAAGGGCTAGGTGAAGGCCCCTCAACCTTGCACTTCAGCTCTACATTCTGCTGGAGCATCTCCTAACTCATGCAGCTGCTGGCTGCTGAGGCTGATGAATCCAAGGTTGGTAGGTAAAATGGTACAATCAGCAGGCAACATGACAGGCCACCATTTGTGGTTCAAGTCCACAAACAACCCCAAGATCAGCAGGCAACACGGCAGACCACTGGCTCAAGTCCAGGAACTGAAGATAAAGAGTTGGCCAAATGCAGGATCCAAAATGTACCAAAAAGCTCAACACTTTTCCCAATCCTTTTCCATAAGTAATGGAAGCAGGCTACATACATCCTAAAGGCAACTCCCTTCAATTACTTAGCGGCTCACAGCAGATTCCACCACAGAGATGATGACAATCTCATCATGAAGAATAACTACATCCAGCTGCCCAGCTGCTCAAAACCACAGCCCCACCAAGCTGACACAAAACCTTAACAACCACAAAAGTCCTTTGGGAAGTCTGAGATTTCCGGCATCATAGCAAAGTCACAGGAAAGAAACATTCCATATCCATAAAAGCTACAACCAAGAAAGTCGCTAGATGCTTAGATAGGACTCTCCTTTCTCCTACTGCCTTGAAGGTATTTCCATTTATGGTTTTAGGGTGTGTGTGCATCTGTCTGTATAGCCCTTGTTCTGTCTCAGCACACCTGTCTATTTCTTTGTAGTCAATTTGTCATATATTATGTCTATGATCTGTAGAAAAACAATAATAGGACATTGTGGGTGTGCTGGCCTGTATTCCTCTGCCTCCTTATACTGTTACTTACAGAATGATCTCACTCACGTCACAGGAATTCTGGTTTGGAAACACTGGAGAGAGCCAGGTCATGACATGACCCTCATCCATCAGACCCATCTCCACATTGTATTTCAAAGATCAGTTTGCTATTAGACATACTCACCCGGTGTGGTACATTATACGATATATCAGTAAACACGTATTTGGCCGTTTCTGTTCCTTCCAAAATCTTATCTTCAGCTAACACGTCATTTATTGGTACTCGTTCTTCCAGAACTGGTGGCATTTTTAATTGTACTTTAGCTGCTTCAATGGCCTGTCTTGTAGCCTAATGAGATAAAATATCTCTTAAGGAAAGCCACAAGGTTACAGAACCAAAAGGATCATTTGACAAAAGTAGATACTAATCAAACATGCTAAGAGTTGCAGAAAAGCAGCTGCAGCCACAGATCATTGATGAAAAGACAAACTTTGTCTGTGGTATAGCTGAGAGCACCCATGCAGCCTCAACTGTCAACAAAACAGAAAAAGAATGCACCTGAGACAGAGCCAGGCTCCAAAAACTGCTTGAAATAAAGCACACCATTTATTGGATGCTTACTCTGTCAGAAGTTGTTCCAATACTCTGAATGTATTTGCTCATTTAATACCCATGCTACCTACCCTATGAAGTAAGTGCTATCAAACATCTGTTTTATAGGGGTTTTGGGGGGGGGGGAATAGAAGCAAACAAATGTTAAATAAATTGCTAAGAAGTGAGAGCAAAAGGATCTGAACACAGGCAGCTCAACTCCAGCCATGCTCTTAACCACTGACTACGGTGCGTCCTGTTCTCTTAACTAACGGTGGTTAAGTCTGGAGAGTGAAAAGAAGACTTTCAGTCTTCACGTGATGTTATTGTTGTATGCCACTGAGTCAACTCTAACTCTTAGTGACCCTATTGGACAAAGCAGAACTGCCCCACAGGATTTCCAAGACTGTAATCTTTATGGGAACAGACTGCCACATCTTTCTCCCATGGAGTGGCTGGTGGGTTTGAACCACTCACCTTTCAGTTAGCAGCCAAGCACTTCAGCCCTGTACCACAAGGGCTCCCTCTTCATGTGATACACTATTGGATGTTTCAATGTTTTGCTATAACTCTAAATTACTTTTGAATTTGAAAATAAAAGCAATAATCCTCCACAGTCTTATATCAAAGCATTTTCCACAAGGTGTTCAGTAATTATGGCTACAGGAGGTCTCCAATGCCTGCTCTGTAGGATCTTGTAATCACACCAAACCTTCAGCCCCAACGTTCACAGCAGATGTTCAGATGTTTCTCTGGGAAGGAAGCTGAAGCAGGGAGGGGAAAGAATGCTCAGGCTGGTTTTGAGCAGAGAGGAGGCCTTGCGTGGACACCCACACCTGGCCTAGGTGTACCAGTCTGCCTAATTCTGGCATGTTCCCTGCTCCTCTCGGCCTGTCTGCTTTAAAATTCCTTCTTAGTTCTGTGCCTGGAACTTCCCCTCACTAATGCCTGTGGAAGAGCAGCTATGAGCACCTGAGAAGCCTCTGGCAATCTTGTTTAGCCTCTTCAAGAAAGGTATCCTACCAACATTCCTGCATTCACCTACCTCTTCCAACTGTGCCTGGGTCATCAGCTTATAGGTTGGGGGCTTCAGTTCTTGTACAGCTGGCTTAAAAATCTTCTGCAAATTCAAACCTGTTATCTTGATGAGTATGTTTTGGATGTCCTCATCCATAAATGCAGGTTTCTTGATCTCTGAGTTACCAGCTTCTGTTAAAAGGATTTTAGTAAATAAGAAGGTGTCAAAAATGACAAGCTAACAAAGCCCCTAAATAGAAAAGTTAACAATAAAGGCTACTAGCAAAATGTCTACTTCAGCACTGCATGATACTAGTATCTATGAGATTCATTCAACTAAAATTTACTAAGCATCCACTGTGATGAGAAGAGAGACACCATCCACTGTCATCGAGTTGATTCCAACTCACAGTGACCTTCCATAGGGCAGGGCAGAACTGCCCCGTAGAGTTTCCAAGGCTGTAAATCTTTCAGAAGCAGACTGCCCCATCTTCAACAGAGCCACTGGTGGTGAACTTTCAGTTAGCGGATGAGCACTTTAACCACCGAGCCACCACACACA